ATTATTACTATTATAGTATTATACATACAGATAACAATAAATAAAAAACTTGGAGTGTAAATTCAAATTCAGTGAAGAGTAAGGTTTTATTAACTGTAAAAGGTACTACCTGGGTTTCGACTTAATTGCCAGGCTTTTTTAAAATTAGTTTTCGTTGTTAATACACTATTAATTAAATAAAATGGTGTGGTTTGCTATTCAGGTATGTATTATCAACACAGAACAAATTTTAACGCAAATGTAGACATATATAAAACAATAAATAATTATTACAAAAAATTGAAAGTAATATATAAACAGCACAGATACAGATTTTAATAATTTAAAGTACTTATTAATTTATCTCTGCATCTTTTATTGTTAATACACTGTTTTCAATTATTTACAATTATTTATTACCTCATCTATGTAAAGAACTATTATGAAAAAGACTCACTAAGGTGAAATGCTGGCTGTCGCTTTTACAATAAAAATTTTTTTAACCTATACTGGCTTTGAATCTACACTCCAACTGAAAAAAAATATTGGAAAACTCACCATTATGGTCGAAGTCCTTTTGCCAGTTTCCTCTCAGCCAGGGAATAAGGACGCCGAATCCTCCTCCTTCACAGTAGTAGGATGGAAGACCAATAACTTCTGCGACATCTGCAAAATATTCAAATATTAATTTCCAAAATCTTAAATTCATTGTCTTTCGACAAATAGTATGTATCACCAAAAAATAATAAAAAATTGAGATGGAAGTATAACTAATAATGACAATTTTAATCTTATATTTTACGTATGTGATTGGAAAACTTACCCCATTATGGTTGAAGTCCTTCTGCCTGTTTTCTCTCAGTAAGGGAATAAGGACGCTTAATCCTCCTCCTTCACAGTAGCAGGATGGAAGACTTCTGTAACATCTTCAACATAATCAAATATTATTTTTCAAAATCTTTAAATTCATTGTATTTCTATAAATAGTATGTATCACCAAAAATGAATTAAAAATTATGTTGAAAGTATAACTAATAATGACAATTTTAATATAATATATTACGTAAATTATTGGAAAACATACCTCATCATGGTCGAAGTCCTTTTGCTAGTTTCCTCTCAGCATAGGAATAAAGAAACTGCATCCTTCTCCTTCACAGTGGTAGGATGAAAGACCAATAACTTCTGCAACAACTGCAAAATATTCAAATATTAATTTCCAAAATCTTTAAATTTATTCACTTTTCACAAATAGCAGCTGTTATCAAAAAATATTTGAAAATTGAAATAAAATTGTAATGAATAAATACCGCAGATACTAATCTTATACATTAAGTAAATGATTGAAAAGCATACCATCATAATCAAAGTCCTTTTGCTAATTTCCTCTTAACATGGGTGTAAAGGCGTTGTAACGGACTTTCTCCAGGATCGTAAGATGGAGAGCCAATGATTTCTACAATTTCTGCAACAAACTGAATGATTAGTTTCCAAAATCTTTAAATTCATTGTTTCTTTACAACTGTTTAAAACTGAAAATTACAAGATATTGTGGTGTGGTAATAAATTCTTATAATCCAAAATTCTTAGAAAACGATTCGAAAAATTTCACTTATTAGATCAACCCAAACCTAAAAAAAACTTTGGATTCCATTTCTTTCTCTTATTACAATATGTAAAAAAAAACGGAAACAAAATTGGTTTGTAAACGGTTGATGTTGATTTTACATCAATAAAATTATATGCAACAACCCTATTTTGGCTCTGATCTTTNATAAGTTATCGTTAATCAAAACCTTACAATCCAACAAGCGACAGAAATTGTAACAGTTCCGCCATACTGATGAAAACGACCTATCTCAATTCAATTTTTATCCAGCGTCATTATCTGGTACCAGGCCGGAAATAAAAATACCTATTTTTATCTTGCATTTAAATACTTTTTGAAAAAAGCAGTTTGTATTTTATTTGAAATATTTTTCCAAACGTATTTTCTATTTGCAAAATGCAAAATACGTTTTCGCCGTTAAAAGTTTTGCTAATATCACCGATCAAATATTATACAAAATGATGAATGAAAGTTGCTCACATTGGCTAATGAAGGTATTAGAAGCTTAAAAAGGCAACAAAGAGACATTCCATGAATGCCTTCTAATTCTTTAACTGTGGTGTGCTAATAAATGCATATACTCCAAAACGATCGAAAAACTTTACTTATTAGATGAAGCCAAAGCTAAAGAAACTATGGATTTCATTTCTTTTTCTTATTACAATGTGTAAAAGATCAGAAACAAAATGGGCTTGTAAATATTTTGATATTAAATGATTGAAGATGATTTTACATCAATAAAATTATTTGCTAGGCTATTTTGGCTCTGTTCTTTCACGCTAAGCAAACTATTTTGGCGTCAGTGTCTTTTTTCCAATTAAAACCGTGACAAAGTATTATACAAAAGAATTATTTGTTGTTTAACTGAAGAAACTATAACATAAAGATAGAAAAACTATATCTCAATCACTTCAAACAGAAAAATATGAATAATACTCAATCTTCTCATCTTGTGATATAATGCAAATACCACTATTGACCTAGAAAAACTCCGAAATGCCTGCAGTTTTCATAAAAAATATGTTATACTTAAGTAAATGTAGAAAATTAAATAGGCACTGCAAAAAAGTATTTATTTGAAAAAAGTATTTTGAAAATACATATTTTGCATCTAGCATTAAAATACAAAAGGAAAATCTATTTTATTTTGTTTAAATACTTTAAAAAAAGACATTCTGCACATCTCTGCATAGATTTTACCACAAATAAAAGATTCAAAACTAAACATCGTGTTTGCTTGTATAGTTTTTTCCATGATATAATTATTTTAAGAGATTAAGCAATCTAAACTAGATTAGGTAATAAAGCTATTTATTTATTTACAATAAATCCCAACGCTTCATTCCTTATTTATTTATTTATTTGTGATGCCGTTAAACATACATAAAATATCCAAATATGACTAATACAAATCTCAGGGTAAATAGCTTTGCAATTACTTCCAAATAAGCCCCAAGTTGGGATTCATTGTAAAATGAATTCAGGCATTTTGTGTTTAAGAAATTATACTGAGTAATAAGTACTACAAAACGTACAAAATTTTATTGAATACGATTACAAGTTAAGTAAGTTAGAGGCGAGTCATTACGTCAATCATAATCAATGATAAAGTGGATAATGCAACTAATGAAAACTTACCATCATATCCTTAATCGGTTCATGGTTTCTTTCTTAACCAGGAAACACGAACCCCCTACATGGCATTGTCAACGGATATTAACATTGCTGTGAACAAAATCAATCGTTAGTCTTTTTACAAATTTCTTAAACATATTTATAAGTAAAAAATATACTTTTACGAAAAATTAGTTATGGTGGTTCTTACAACATTATTATCGGTTAAAACTGAGTAGCAAATTTAAAAATATAACTCATTATGATACCAGGAAAACAGGGGTGGAACTGCATAATAAGTAATATAAGGGTGAAAGATAGTAATCGTAAATGAATTCATGCGAGGATTAAATAAAGTATAGGTGAAATCATTACGATTGGAATATCTGTATGATTAGGGTAAATAAAGTAGTAAATTATAGTCACAGCGAATAAGTGCAATAAATTCATGAAAGAACGCTTGAGGGTGAGAATGTCAAAGTAAAAGAACGAATAAGAATATTGGTTGAAATACATCCAACGAAGGGAGTACGAGTACGTAATGGTAAAAGATAGTAACCGTGAATGAACGTATGCGAGAGTTGAAAAAAATTTAGGTGAAAAGATTAAGATTGGAATATCTGTAGTAGATAGGGTATACAAAACAGTTAGAGTGTCAATAAAAAGGTGCAAGAAATGCATGAAAGAACGAAGGTGATAATGTAAAGACTAAAGTACAAATGAGAATTAGGGTAAGAATGGGTGAAAAAAGAGAGAACGTGCGAGAGCGAATAAAACAGTAATTTAAGTATAAAAGATAGTCGTCGAGATTGAACGCAAGGTAGGGTTAAAGAAAATAAACGTTAAGGGATAAGTCTGGGCAGATGTATATAACAAAGTGTGTAAGAAGGCAAATAAGACTGTCAACAAAAGAATACAATGCTAATTTTTGTGCTGCAGAAGCCTTAAAAAAGTCATCTAACAGTGTTTTAGTGTCAATATAATAAAAATCATTTCCAAAAAGTGCAAAACATCCACCCACTATTAAGCCTACGCGCTACCTGTAAGTTAATCGCCGATATCCCGTATTTCAGTACACCGCGTCATGCCGGAGCATGTCGAGATGTATTGAGAGTACGAGAAAGCGACGTGTTAACTATACAGGAAGAACGAAGTATTAATCGTAGGCTAGTAATATAGGCCGGGCCACCGGCAGCTTCCCAGCTGCATACCCCGCTATTTGCACAGTTAAGGCGCCCTCCGTGTGCAGCGGGTGTACTACAGCCAGATCTCGCATACCGTATTACTACTTACCTGTGTCATGCCTGAGCGAAGTATATGTATCTGCTTTCTTGCTTCAATGTGCGGTGAGCGTTTAAAAGTAAAGATATTTTTAACAACAAATATTAAAAATATAAAACTAAAATATTTACACAAAGCCCCTATCGATATTTGAAAACGATTTGTAGAGTAAATTTTGCCTATATTACTTGTGAAGGCTGATAATCGCAGTTTTACTAAAATCGTGAAAAAGCACTTAATATTAATGCGAAAGGCCGAGAACTGTTGTAATGGTACTAGTTTACTGAACCGATAATCCATGCAAAAGCAACAAACCTACATGCAAACGAAAATCTTGGAAAAATCACCTATTCCACTTATAAATTTAAAACTTACCGAATAAAACTGATGAATGGATTGCAAAATATTCCATATTGTATTATAATGGTGCCATCGCTTTAGTACTAAACAAAATCACAAATACACACTTGCGAAAATGTTAGTTTATGATACAAAACAGTTTAGTTTCCACGTAAACAAGGCAATTTCCACGCAACTATCGGCGCTAACACACGATCTCAATGCTGTCTACGAAGGAACTGATGTGTGGCCGTGAATCGTAACAGGCGGTAACTGGTGACGTTATCGACGAGCTTNCATGTCGAGATGTATTGAGAGTACGAGAAAGCGACGTGTTAACTATACAGGAAGAACGAAGTATTAATCGTAGGCTAGTAATATAGGCCGGGCCACCGGCAGCTTCCCAGCTGCATACCCCGCTATTTGCACAGTTAAGGCGCCCTCCGTGTGCAGCGGGTGTACTACAGCCAGCATCTCGCATACCGTATTACTACTTGCCTGCCTCTTGCCTAAGCCAAGTATATGTATCTAGTTTCTTGCTTGAATGTGCGGTGAGCGGTTAAACATAAAGATATATTTAACGAAAAATATTAACAATATAAAACTAAACTTTTTACACAAAGTGCCTAATGATATTCTAAAGCGATCTGTAGAGTAACTTTTGCCTACATTACTTGTGAAAGCTGATAATAGCAGCTTTACTACAATCACGAAAAAACACTTAAATGAAATTAAATTTAATTAATATTACTAGTTTATTAAACACATTGTTTTTTAACATAAAATATATCTGTATGTAGCCCTAAAAATTTACAATATTCAATTTTAAACTAGCAATAAAGACTTACCGGATCAGACTATAAGTATACAAAACACATCTCATTATAATTGAACGTTCGCTTAAATTAATGTTAAATCACACCAAGATGCACAGTTTTTATAATATTTTCCACACCAATTCGGTAAATTTCCACGAAAACACACCAGATTTTCCGTAGCTCTCCGCGCAACATACTCAGTCGTACGGTTCAGTATTTACTAATAATACAGAGTTAAGTCGAATGTAAAATACAGCTGGCGCCCTCAGCAGCCTCAGTGCGGAGCGTTATTAAAATAATACACGACTTATGAAACAATAAAATTCCGGTGTAAAATTATCAAAATTCGTATGTGTATTCCTTCCAAACCCTTTGGTAATTTAATTATTTTATTTTGTCTATACGCAGTAACAATAGAAAATTCCCTTTAATTTGAAAGTTTTGATACAATTTACTATAATAATAATAACCAGTACAATATTTTATCCTTTGCAGCAGAAATTGCCAGGAGATGAAATAGATTAACATAAACTTTTCTGAGTTATGTTAAGAGTACTTTATTGTTATTATAGTAAATTGTATCNGAAAGTTTTGATACAATTTACTATAATAATAATAACCAGTACAATATTTTATCCTTTGCAGCAGAAATTGCCAGGAGATGAAATAGATTAACATAAACTTTTCTGAGTTATGTTAAGAGTACTTTATTGTTAGTAACAAAAATTAAATGTCGATAATTATACATGCACCTATTTGTAATATTAACACAAGAATTTTAAAGATGCCTACAATGGCAAACGATTTAATATTTCACATCAAATGTTCTAATATTCGTAAAGGACAAAACCTGAAGATAATAATTCATTGCCGTCGTCATCTAGAGATAACGAAACAAAAAAACAACTCATAACATTGAAGCTAAATTATGAACCAGATAATATTTGTTTCTACATTAACATTTTTATAAATAAATATTCATTACATACAGCAGGCCGATTGTTTTATAAAAACCTAGGTCGGAACTATTAGATACAGAAAGAAGAATGCCGCTATAGGATTACCCTTAACATAAATACTACAAGATCTAAATTTATTGCTGTAGAAGAAAAATTAAGGAGACAATTTGATTTGATTTATAATTGCAATAAGCCAAATAGGATTACGAGTAAAATCGCATTACTAGGAAAAGCTCTTCACTTTGTTCATTCCTATAGTTTGATAAATAATTAGGTACCCAATTACAAATTTTGGTTCTGTTAATATCACCTGTTATTATTACTATCTGTTTTCATTTCACACCCTCGGTTAAATGTCTCACGGGTACAAAATGCTGCAGAATCTAACAGTGCAATCTGATTGACGATACCTCCACCAATAAGCAAGTTAGGGGTGATTCACTGTTAAAACTCATTAAAATTTACTGTATTAAAAAAAGCGCATCTCAATTTCCGTTTAAGAAACAATCCATTTCACACCCTTGGTAACGTGTATCAGGGGTAGAAAATACGGCAGAATCCAACAGTGCAATCTGTTTGACGATCGCCCATCATATAAAAGAGTTAAGGGTGATTTACTATTAAAATACATGAAGATTTCCATTCTTAAAAAATCGCATCTAAGTTTCCGGCTAAAAAGCAATCCATTTTACACCCTCGGTTACATCTAGCAGGGGTAGAAAATGCTGCCGAATATAGCAGTGCAATCTGTTTGACGATCGCCCATCATATAAATGAGTTAAGGGTGATATACCATTAAAATACATGAAAATTTCCTGTTTTAAAAAAGCGCATGTAAGTTTTCGGCTAAAAAACAATCCATTTCACACCCTCCACTAAATGTATCAGGGGTAACAAATGCTGCAAAATCCAACAGTGCAATCAGTTTGAAGTTCGCCCCTCATATAAATGAGTTAAGGGTGATTTACTATTAAAATACATGAAAATTTCCTGTTTCAAAAAAGCGCATCTAAGTTTTCGGCTAAAAAACAATCCTTTTCACACCCTCGGTTACATGTATCAGGGGTACAAAATGCTGCAGAATCTAACAGTGCAATCTGATTGACGATACCTCCACCAATAAGCAAGTTAGGGGTGATTCACTGTTAAAACTCATTAAAATTTACTGTATTAAAAAAAGCGCATCTCAATTTCCGTTTAAGAAACAATCCATTTCACACCCTTGGTAACGTGTATCAGGGGTAGAAAATACGGCAGAATCCAACAATGCAATCTGTTTGACGATCGCCCATCATATAAAAGAGTTAAGGGTGATTTACTATTAAAATACATGAAGATTTCCATTCTTAAAAAATCGCATCTAAGTTTCCGGCTAAAAAGCAATCCATTTTACACCCTCGGTTACATCTATCAGGGGTAGAAAATGCTGCCGAATATAGCAGTGCAATCTGTTTGACGATCGCCCATCATATAAATGAGTTAAGGGTGATATACCATTAAAATACATGAAAATTTCCTGTTTTAAAAAAGCGCATGTAAGTTTTCGGCTAAAAAACAATCCATTTCACACCCTCCACTAAATGTATCAGGGGTAACAAATGCTGCAAAATCCAACAGTGCAATCAGTTTGAAGTTCGCCCCTCATATAAATGAGTTAAGGGTGATTTACTATTAAAATACATGAAAATTTCCTGTTTTAAAAAAGCGCATCTAAGTTTCCGGCTTAAAAAACATTCCATTTCACACTCTCGGTTACATGTATCAGGGGTAGAAAATGTTGCGGAATGGAACAGTTCAATCTGTTAGACTATCGCCCCTCATATAAATGAGTTAAGGGTGATTTACTGTTCAAATACATGAAAACTTCCTGTTTTAAAAAAGGGCATCTAAATTTCCGACCAAAAATGTAATTCATTTCACACCCTCCGTTACATGTATCAGGGGTAGAAAATGCTGCAGAATCGAACAGTGCAATCTGTCTGACGATCGCCTTTCATTTAAATCAGTTAAGGGTGATTTACTGTTAAAATACATGAAAATTTCCTGTTGTAAAAAAGCGCATCTATATTTCCGATTAAACAGTAATCACAATTTTTCCACAATTACAATAAATACTAAAATTTGGTACTTAGTGAAGAATGGAACACTTTTTTTATTAATATTTGACTAATGAAATAGTTTTGAGAGAAGGTGCATCTACCGTTAATATTAATATTTGGTATAAATGCCCTTTTTAACTTAATGTTGATTTCACCTGTATGAAGACCGCAATATAATAATACAATTAATCTAATTGAAGGAATAACACAAAATTTTAAAATAAATTCTTACAAGTGTACCCTAATTGTCATGACTAGTATCAAGAAAATACAAACTCAAAGTGTAACTATTTAATAAAAATGATCATTTAATAATAAAAACTGAATATGAAATATAAGTATAGCCAAAAATCAGTATCTGAAGTGTGCTCAAATTAAACAATAGGATCAAGATTTTGTTAAATCACTAGAGAAAATAAAAAACAAAGCTACTTACCGAATTAAATTACTGGAATATAAAACACATCACTTTCTAATGGTGCACTTGTTATTATTTTCATCAAATCATAAACACTTTGAAGTTTATGAAGGTAATTTCGGCATAAAATCGTTTTATTTTCGCGAAAACGCGTTAAATGTTCCATAAAGCCCGCGCACTTTTCTCTTTACTGTTTGTGAATAAAACCAACAACAGAATCGTTGCTTTGCGGCCTTCAAAGAAAAAGACTACTAGCGCTATCGTAACCCATAGTACGAGAGATATTAAACTATCACTGGAGGCTACAAGGACATGTATAATGAGATTAAAAACAACGATTGCTTATATGAAATTCACATCAATTTGATACTGGAATGTCTTATTACAAACAGTAACAAGTTATGAATACAGTTTCATTTGATAGGGAACTTTTTACATCAGATAG